AGAGTATGGGGGGAAAGAAAGAGTCCCCACTGAATAGCTGTCATCTTGTCTAAGTGGGTCTGGTGAAAAGAGATGGGGATAAGATTCGTAAGATTCAATAGTGATTAATTGTTATCATGACTAATTGCGACTGTTACAATTGTAAAGGTAAAAATTTTATAACAAAAAGGGGAGTGGTTAATCTTACAGTCCAGAAACAGAGGACCCTAGGACCATCAAGAGAGGAACTCACAAGCAGAATGAGGGACCTTATCCAGAGAAGAAGCAGCGCCAGAGATGGGGGCAGAGGTGGGGGCATGGAGAGGGGGAGCGGCTAAGGACTCTAGATCCATGGACTAAGAGCTGGTGGACAGGAGCAGACTTGCAGAATGTGCCCTTTGGAGATGTAAATTATTATATAGGCCTGAGTGGTTTTTTTGTTTGTTTGTTTGTTTTTAAAACGCTAAAGTGGATAGAGAGAAATACAGTTAACTGATGGTACATGGACGGGATTATAATCATTGTAATGAAACAAGGTGTATGATCTGTTGAATGTAAAACTGATGACCTGCCCTGTAAACTTTCACTCAATCCACAATAAAAAACCTTAAATAAAAAACTAGATGGCTATGATCAGAAAAATGGAAATGTGTTGGCAAGGATGCACAGAAATTGGAACTCTGGTACCATGCTGGTGGAAACATAAAATGGTGCAGCCACTGTGAAAAAGGTTGGCAGTTCCTCAAAAGTTAAACAGAGAATGATTACACGGCCCAGCGAGTCTACTCCTAGATAGTCTGGAGCCTTGAGAGCGTGACTGCCAAGAGTGAACACCCATGTCTGTTGCTGTCGCTGTTGTTAGGTGCCATCAAGTCGGTACCGATTCACAGAGACCCGAGACACCCACGTCCAGGGTACTCAATATTACCACTCAGCAGAACTGGACTCTGGGCAGGTGTATTAACTGAGGCATGCATGCTACCTACCTGACCCTGGAAGACTCTGAACTTCCAAGTGGGAAGATACATCCGTCTGGGGGCTGTGAAGGGGCCTTGGTGACAAAGCAGGCTAAACATTGGGCAGCTAACCAAAAGGTCAGCTGTTCAAACCACCAGCTGCTCCATGGAAGAATGAGGAGGTATGCTCCAATGAAGATTGTTGTTGTTGTTTAGTGCCGTCGAGTCAGTTCCAACCCATAGCAGTCCAGTATAGGGTTCCCAGGGAGCAGCTGGTGAGCTTGAACCGCTGACACTGCAGTTCAAGCTGACTTTGCCGTCCAGCACATTAGTCCACAGCGCCACATCAGAACCCTACTCTGTCTTAAACGGTCTCTAGGACTCGCCTCAAGAGCACGTGCCAGAGCGTACAAGGAGCACAGAGGAGCTGCAACTGGCTTTGAGGGTCCCTGTTCTTGCCAGGGCACCGCCCGGGGCTCCCATGTGGCCTCATGTGGCCTTTGACCTCACCTGTTAATTATAAAGCCTCAGGGGTACAAAGGAAAGAGTTCCAAGTATCACACTGCAAATATCACCACCCAGCCCTTCTAGACCCAGTCAGTTCCTCTCTGAACTTACACAGGCTCAAAGGGCCACCAGGCAGCACCCACTCAACACACACAGGAGAGGGCGGGAGGGGCAGGAGAGAGCAGTGTCCAGGGTCAGATGCTCTCCCCTCCCAGGAGCCTTCCTGAGGTCACTCCCCTCATTTCCCACTACCCGTGGGGACCCTGTAAGACTAAAACCCTACTACTTGATTGGCTTTGGGGTTAGTCTTCCCCACAAGACAACAGGAGGTGTGAGTCTCATTCATTGGCTAAGTACTGCAACAGCGAGTGGTTTCCACATGTCAGAGTCCTGGTTTCCACATGTCAGAGTCCGGGGACGGGAGGCAGACAGCAGGCTGCATAGGGGACAGCAAGTTGGATGTGCCAAAGAAGCAGAGGAAGACCGGATCTGGGAGGCAGGGAGTCAGCTCATGCAGGGCCTCCCTCTTAAAGGCTCTGAGCCCAGCAGTGACCATCTGACTAGAGCCTGAAAACCACCTGCTGCTGTTTCCTGGAGAACGAGCTAGGAAGCAGAGCAGGGAAAGGGGCCATGATAGAGGAGGCTTGCCTCAGGGTGGAAGAAGGGAGAGAGGTAAAGGCATGGTTGGATTCCAGATATGTTCTGACTGCGGTCATAGTGCCGATTCCAACTCATGCATGACAAACCCATGTGTTAGGGAGTAGAATTGCTCCGTAGGGCATTCTTGACTTTTAGGAATCGGACAGCCAGGCCTTTCTTCCGCAGCACTGCTGGGGGGAGGTTGTTCAAATGGGCAGCTTTTAGGTGAGTAGCCCAGCACACACACTATGGACTCTCCAATGTTTGGTGAGTTAAGTGTGAAACAGGGATGGGGATGACTACAAGGTTTCTACACTGAGCACCCAGAAATGGGTACGGCTATGGGAAGGGCCCTTGTTCCCAGGAGAGAGAGAGAGCAAGAGTCTGGTCTTTAACATGTGAGGTGTGGGGTGGCTACTAGACGTCCCAGTGGAGACACAGAAGTCTAAAGTTCCTGAAAGAGATCGACACTGGATACCGAAGCGTACCCCAAAATACAGATAGGATGAGAGAGCTAACAGACAGCACCCCTAAGAAGGGAGGGCAGCCAGAGGGTGAGGATGAAGCTCGGGTTCCTTCCAGCTGACACTGAGGGGTACGGAGTAGGAACCAGCAAGGACCCAGGAAAAGGCTGAGTGACTCCCCCGTCTCGCGGGCAGACCCTATGAACCTCGAGAGGAAGGAGGGGAGTCCTACGTGGTGGTAATAGTGTACCCAGACGCCCGCTCCGGAGCCACACTCCTACTTCCAGAACCCCCCAAGTCCTGCCCTGGCCTCTCCCACGCACACACATCGCACAATTTACTCCCCAAGCCTTGACAAACCCCAACACACACTGGTCCCTGGACTCCCCAGCAGCCTGCCCTTCCAACACGCACCGAGACCCCTCGGGCTCCCCCAGCAGCCTGCCCCGCACAACCTCCACTCTGCACTTCGACACGCACCGATGCCCCTCGGGCACCCCTGCAGCCTGCCCCGCAAAGCCTGCGCTCTGCACGCCGACACGCACCGCGGCCCCCGGGCTCCCCCTCCACCTTGCACTCCGACACGCAGCCCGCCCCCCAACCCCCACCGCGGCCCCCGGTCTCCAGCGTAACCCGCCCGCACGCCCGGCACTCACATAGCGGTTGCACATGGCTACAGAGAGGTTGCGCAGGTGCGGCGTGGCGCCCACCCACAGGAAGAGCGAGTCTGTCAGCCGCATGACGTGAAAGTGCACAAGCTGCTCCCACAGCCTCGCGCTGAAGTTGTGCAACGACACGTCTTCGCCCGGGACGCCCGGCCGACCCTCCATGCTCTCGAGCGTCGCCACCCAGGCGGTTCCGAAAGCTCCCGCGAGCACCGCCCACACTTCCGGGTTGTGGGGCGGGGCGGGGCCGGCGATTTCCAGACCTTCTTCCGCTCCAATTTGGGTGCAGGCCTTCTCCTCGACCTCCTTCCGGCTTCCGGTCTCTCCTTGGTTTCTGGCGCATTGCAAGAGGAGCTTGTACCTAACCCATGGTCTCTGCAGCGCTCGCTCTCCTTTGTTCCCTCAGCCCATACCTGTCATGGTTACTGTGTGTGAATCAAAACAATATGCTGAAGCTACACACAACGTCTTCCCGGTCCTTAAAAAAAGAAATGTCACTTCTGATCATAAAGGATTTGGCTTTGGTTTACCAAGTCCGCCTATGGGCTCTGTAACCGGAACCAATCCTTGCACATCAACGGGTCTTTGACATAGCCTCAAAAATAATAACCAAACCGGCTGCCACAGAGTCTATTTCAGCCCCTTGGGTGAGACTCTAGAAGACACAATAGAAGAGCTGCTTGGAGATCCCAAAGCTCAGACAGCCTCATAGTTCTCACCAGGCCTTAAGAGTGGGAATGAGGAAAGTTGTGTTATGTTGGTGGGAAAATGTGTAGCAGTTTATAAAACTTAAACCCTGTGAGAAACGTCAATACCAACAAATGCTTAAGTAAGCCAACCTGTACTTATTTTAGTGATAGTGAAGTTTCCTTTATTCAATTTTGCGAAATCAGGCGCCCAAGCCTGGTTAGACATGACACGGGTAGACGCATCACATGGCCAGCTGGAAACAGTTTAATTCCCCTGGCTAGGAAAAGCCCCCCCTCCAGTTCCCCTTTTACTGGGTACTGTGGAGTTTACAATCTATCCCGAAAGTTCTATTTTCCCTCCCCTCAGTTCTGCAATCTAGCCTGAATGGTGCCCATGGTCTTCATGACTGTATTCTTATTTAAAGTTAGCGTAGTGGTTACAAGTTGCGTTGGGCTGCCAACCTCAAGGTCAGCAGTTCGAAACTATCAGCGGTTCCACGGGAGAAAGATGAGGCTTTCTGCTCCTGTAAAGATTTACAGCCTGGGAAACCCTGTACAGGGTCGCTATGGGTCGGAACCAACTCCACGGCACTTAACAACAACAACAGTCCTACAACAGATTTATTTCCCCACTTCCCCCAGTTCATCTTGCTTACATATTTCTGGGTGTTCCCTGGGTGTGAATTAACAACCTATGCCTGGTCTAGCAATCTCATGAACCCTTTATTCCTAAAGATGGACCATCTTGAGACTTTCTCACGCTCCTAAACTGGATCATGGCCAAGAAGGAACCTGAGGCTAATCTTTCAACCTCTTAAGACCCAATTTCCTCATCTGTAAAATGGAAATAATAAGTACCTTAAGGTCAGCAGTTCAAAACCACGATCCCCACAAAGGGAGAACGATGAGGCTTTCTGCTCCCGTTAAGATTTAGGACTTCAGAAAACCTGTAAAGGTTTGTTATGACTCAGAACCAATTTGGCACAGCACCATCATCTAAGGGAGGTAGAAAGGACTAGGAGAGTCCAAGGTGACTGGTGGCCAGGTTTCCTGCAGAAGGACCCTCTAATTACAGTAACTTGGGTCACTGCCAATCTGAAATAAGGGTGCCTTCAAAGGATTGAGACAGTATGCATGACAAAGCAAATAGGTTCCATTTTGATGGACTGTGTTGATTCACCATTGGGGTTGTATTGGAGAAGGGTGGGGAACCTTTTTCCTGGCAAAATTTATAAGATCCAGTAAAGATTTTTAAATTAGCCTGCTATATTTGTTCAAACATTTAATTAACTCACCCAACTGCACGGCACATAACCACTTCCACCAATGTGATGGTTGGAACTGCAGTTGCCTTGGCAGGATCAGACCGAGCCACAGGCCTGACATGCCCCCAACCCTGCCTAAAAGCTAAAATACTAGAATTAGAGCACTTGGATTGTGGAAGACTGCTGTCTACTGTGGGAACCCTAGCTTCATTTTGAGTTTTGACACAAGTTCAGATGCCTTTTTAAGTTCTTTCTAACCATTAAACCAACAAGGTGGCTGATGCTTAGACAAATCTGGGGCAAACCTAGGTAAGGGTAACTTTATCCTCAGAGAAGAGTGTATCTAAAACTGAATGACATCTTGACTAATTGCCACTGTCACCACTGTAAAGGTAGAAGTTTTGTAGCAAAAATGGGTGAGTAGTTAATCTTACAGTCCAGGAACAGAGGACCCTAGGACCAGCAAAGAAGAAAAGCATGAGTGGAAAGCAGGACCCTATCCAGAGAAGCAGTGATGCCAAAGATGGAGGCAGAGATGGGAACATGGAGAGAGGGAGCAGCTGAGGACTCTAGATTCATGGAAAGAGAGGGACTGGGTGCTGGCGGCCAGGAGGCAGACTTGCAGAAGGTGGCTTTTGGTTGTTTAAATTATTATATATTCCTGAGTGTGTCTGTGTACATCTCCCCACCTCCCACACCTCCCAAAAAAGAAAAAGAAAAAAAAACACAGAGGGAATAGAAGCAAATACTATTGAATGATGATGCACAGAGGAGATTATAGCCATTGCAATGAAACAATGATTTGAAGCTGATGTTCTCCCATGTAAACTAACACTCAGTTCACAATAAAGCAAAGCACTGCTTAAGAAAAAGAATAAAGGTTGGAGGCCTCTCACTCCCCGACTTCAAATTTTACTACACGGCTACAGTGGTCAAAACAACTTGGTACTGCTACAAAGAAAGATACATAGATCAGTGGAACAGAATTGCGAATCCAGAAATTAACCCATCTACATACAGCCAAATGATTTTTGACAAAACACCTAAATATATCGTATGGGGAGGTGATAGTCTCTTCAACAGATGGTGCTGGCAGAACTGGAAAGTGATATGCAAAAGATTGAAACAAGACCTTCACCTCACACCTTATACAAAAACCAACTCAACATGGATTAAAGACATAAATGTGAATCTCAGAATTATGAAGGCCATCAATGAAAAAATAGGGACAAATGTGAGGGCACTAATTCAGGGAATACACAGACTACCAAACATTTTGAAAACCACACAAACAAAAGTAGACAAAATAGATGGGTGGGACATACTAAAAATTAAAAACTTATGTGCGTCAAAAGACTTCACCAGTTCACAATAAAAACTTTTTAAAAAATGCATGACATCTCCCAGGTTTGCCCAGCGAGAGACACTTGTGCCCTAAGACTTCTAAGACTTGCAGAGAACCAGGGGACTTGCCTGGGCATGTCCTTAATGATAATAACTCGCTTGGAGTTAAAAGTTGGGATGCTGGTGGCTGTGCCTCACAGTCGTGGGTCAGTCCCCAACCACCATGTGACTGGCCAGTCTACCATGTGTACAGAACCCATTCACGGCCCTTCCTCCACTTCTGCAATTCCGCATACAACAGCAATGAAATGACCTGCCACCACTCATGATTTTGTGATGATTTCCTGTGTTTTCTATCATCTATTATAAGCCCATAGCCGTCAATCAGCAAATTGGATTTTGGCCTGTGTACTGTGTGCATGCTGATGGTTTCCCTACTTCTGGTGGGGTTACAGGAAACTAGAAAATCATGAAATATAATATTAAAGCAATTCATTACAGGGTGGAAACCACCTCCAGGGGAGATACTCCAGGGGTGGCAGAGATCCACAGTCCACCAGATTTCCAAAAAGGGGTGCTGAAAACTGGTTAAAGGGAAGGCTAATGGGTTGTTGTTGTTGTTGTTAAGTCGGTTCCAACCCATAGCGACCCTGTATAGGGTTTCCAAGGAGCAGCTGGTGAGCTTGAACCACCAACTTTGCAGTTCAAATGACTTTGCAGTCTGTCGCATTAGCCCACAGCGCCACACCAGGACTCCAGGTAGCTAACAGCATCCTCTGGGTAGCTAAACAGGGAGGGAGGATTCGTAAACCAAGGAGATGGTTTGGCGTTTTCTATCTGGTTTATATCCTTCCCACATGACAAGAAGACAGATATTTTTTAGCCCTTGTCTACATTCTGCCCTACTGTTCTTTGCATTTGGGAGTTCTTTGTTTGTTTTTATGGTTCTATTGATCTTTTTCTGCTGCTGCCTCAACTGATCTTTTTCCTCAGTAATTTTCCTCCTGTACCCCTCACCCTATCATCCCCCCACCCACCCACACCTCCAGAGAGACCTGCAACCAGAAATCTGCTTTGGGACAAGGGATTGTTCGTACACTTCAGTGCTGTGGAGTCAATTCCAACTCATAGGAACCCTCTATAGTGTTTCCGGGAAGCAGCTGGTGGGTTTGGACCACTGACCTTGTGGTTTGCAGTCCACTGCTTATCCTACAGTGCCACACTGAAGTCTGGCAGAGGGATGGAGGTCTCATTTTCTTGGAGAAACTTCCAGCTGGCACTGGGTCATAGGCCTGCCTAACACAGTAGAAGTCTCTCTCTGCCTGTGCTGAGGGCCCTGGAGGAGGCATGGCAGAAGGTGGTAATCTTGTAAAGTCAGCATTTGTAGGTGAGGATTCTGGAACCAAGAGGAAATGAATCTAGTAAATACTGAGGGGGCAAGGCCCAAGTTGGTTGGTTGGTTGGTTATGTGACATGGAGTCGGTTCCGACTAATAGCGACCCTGTACAGGGTGTCCGAGGCTGTAAATCTTTATGGGAGCAGATAGCCTCATCTTTCTCCCACGGAACAGCTGGTAGTTTCAAAATGCAGACCTTGCGGTTCACAAGGTCGTAACCAGATTCGTAACCAGAGCTCCTTAAGGGCCAAGTAGTAAGATGCATATGAAGAAGGAAAAAACAGTGAGAAGACTGAAGCCAAGAACTCCAGTACTGGCTTCCCATAGAGCCAGTAAGGCCTGGTGTAGTTTGGGTGTCCTAAGGTCTTGGAACCTAATGGCAATGTCCTGTTTAAGGCTTAATAAAAGGGTCTCTATAGTATATATTTGACAGGGTTTAAATTAGACCTATCAGAGTTCTGCTTTTTAAATTGAAGATTAAGAGGATATATGTTTTTATAGTTTTTTTCTATTTGCTAATTATCCATGCTACAATAAAATAGTTAATTACTAAGTCAATATTTCTACAGTTTTATTAAGGTATAATTGACATATAGTAACTGCACAGATTTAAAGTATGTAATTAAACAGTACAAAGAGA